TGGCTGATGTTGTGTTCTTGTCGAGGACGCCGTAAAACTACGACAAGAACACTGGCTGATGTTGTGTTCTTGTCGAGGACGCCGTAAAACTACGACAAGAACACTGGCTGATGTTGTGTTCTTGTCGAGGACGCCGTAAAACTACGACAAGAACACTGGCTGATGTTGTGTTCTTGTCGAGGACGCCGTAAAACTACGACAAGAACACTGGCTGATGTTGTGTTCTTGTCGAGGACGCCACGAAACTACAAGATCAACAATAATCCCATTTCTTCTTTATCATGACTCCTCGATGTTCCTCCTAAATATATGTGACTTTCCTGACTACTCGTTCCAATCATTATAATGTCCCTCGTCTGTTTTATATATATATATATATATATATATATATATATATATATATATATATATATATATATATATATATATATATATATATATATATATATATATATATATATATATTATATATATATATATATATATATATATATATATTTGGCTAAAAAAATAGCAATTATATAGTTGGTTTATATTTATTAAGATATAAACCCCAAGAGAGAGAAAAAAAATAATCTTTAGACAGAAAATTTGATTTTTTTATTTTTGTAAATGAAATTAAAAAAATATATGTATATATTTCGAGATATTTCCACGATTTTTTAATTGGTTTTTAATTTTTTTTAAGGAAATAATTTTTTTTCGGTCGAATTAAGTTGGATTATGAAATGAAAGATGCCAGAAATACTTGAAACAGCACAAGAATTTTGATAAAAAAAACACAGCTGAAAAGGCATTGGATCACTTTAGAAAAGCATTGGATCACTTTAGAAAAGAATTGGATCACTTTAGAAAAGCATTGGATCACTTTAGAAAAGCATTGGATCACTTTAGAAAAGCATTGGATCACTTTAGAAAAGCATTGGATCACTTTAGAAAAGCATTGGATCACTTTAGAAAAGCATTGGATCACTTTAGAAAAGCATTGGATCACTTTAGAAAAGCATTGGATCACTTTAGAAAAGCATTGGATCACTTTACACAAAGTATTTCGCCATTAAGGATCCCACAAGTGAAACATTACGTTAAACGGGATCGACTCTGGACTCTCGATGCTCTTTTGTTTCCCTTCTTTTGTTCGTACTTCTTCATTGAGACTATTTTTCGCAGGTGTTGTTGTAATGTGTTCCAGCGGTGACCTAAATACTGACTCCAGCTCAACGTTTAAGAAATTTAAAGAGTACTGACAGGAGTCGAGTCAGTCTCGCGCTCAGCAGACGGAGAATCGAGCCTTCACCATGTCTTGCACTGAATAACCCACACAGGTTTAGCACTTAGTATCAATTATAATAGCAATAAAAAAATGGAAGATAATGAAATAAAGTGCTGGAGGACAGATCACTACGTTGATAACTGAAGAATTATCGTAATGAAATTATTATTTCTTCCAACTGAAGAGGGCCAGAGATGAAATGAAAACAAACCAGGGAACGGGTGAGGTTTAAACCCATGGCGAGTGAATCGTAAAACTCCAGGTAAGTGTGTAAACCACTGGAGCAGCTGGCTACAGTAAAATAAATCCAACCAGGAATATTTGTACACCATAGGGAGGTTAGCATAGGCCACCACTGCAACCTTGTTATTATGATTTGGTGAGTTATAAAAGGAAACTAATCCAGGAGGGAAGAAAAATTATGTTTTGGTTAAGAAACAACAACAAAAAAAAAAAAACAGGAAAAATTTACAAGACTTAAAATGGAAATGTTTTATAAGCAACAGATAACAGATGTTTATATACTGTGTTGAAGGTCTGATGTTTTGTAAACAATGTTGATAAACAATGTTGATAAACAATGTTGATAAACAATGTTGATAAACAATGTTGATAAACAATGTTGATAAACAATGTTGATACATTGATGACTAGGAGACTGTCAAGACTGAGGGACTGACTATCTTCTGTCAGGGCTAATTGATTGACCACCTTCCATTAATGCTGAGGGACTGACCACCTTCCATTAATGCTGAGGGACTGACCACCTTCCATTAATGCTGAGGGACTGACCACCTTCCATTAATGCTGAGGGACTATCTTCTGTCAGGGCTAATTGATTGACCACCTTCCATTAATGCTGAGGGACTATCTTCTGTCAGGGCTAATTGATTGACCACCTTCCATTAATGCTGAGGGACTATCTTCTGTCAGGGCTAATTGATTGACCACCTTCCATTAATGCTGAGGGACTATCTTCTGTCAGGGCTAATTGATTGACCACCTTCCATTAAATGCTGAGGGACTATCTTCTGTCCAGGGCTAATTGATTGACCACCTTCCATTAATGCTGAGGGACTATCTTCTGTCAGGGCTAATTGATTGACCACCTTCCATTAATGCTGAGGGACTGACCACCTTCCATTAATGCTGAGGGACTGACCACCTTCCATTAATGCTGAGGGACTGACCACCTTCCATTAATGCTGAGGGACTGACCACCTTCCATTAATGCTGAGGGACTGACCACCTTCCATAAATGCTGAGGGACTGACCACCTTCCATTAATGCTGAGGGACTGGCCACCTTCCATTAATGCTGAGGGACTGACTACCTTCCATTAATGCTGAGGGACTGACCACCTTCCATTAATGCTGAGGGACTATCTTCTGTCAGGGCTAATTGATTGACCACCTTCCATTAATGCTGAGGGACTATCTTCTGTCAGGGCTAATTGATTGACCACCTTCCATTAATGCTGAGGGACTGACCACCTTCCATTAATGCTGAGGGACTGACCACCTTCCATTAATGCTGAGGGACTGACCACCTTCCATTAATGCTGAGGGACTGACCACCTTCCATTAATGCTGAGGGACTGGCCACCTTCCATTAATGCTGAGGGACTGACTACCTTCCATTAATGCTGAGGGACTGACCACCTTCCATTAATGCTGAGGGAATGGCCACCTTCCATTAATGCTGAGGGACTGACCACCTTCCATTAATGCTGAGGGACTGACCACCTTCCATTAATGCTGAGGGACTGACCACCTTCCATTAATGCTGAGGACTGACCACCTTCCATTAATGCTGAGGGACTGGCCACCTTCCATTAATGCTGAGGGACTGACCACCTTCCATTAATGCTGAGGGACTGGCCACCTTCCATTAATGCTGAGGGACTGACCACCTTCCATTAATGCTGAGGGACTGACCACCTTCCATTAATGCTGAGGGACTGGCCACCTTCCATTAATGCTGAGGGACTGACCACCTTCCATTAATGCTGAGGGACTGACCACCTTCCATTAATGCTGAGGGACTGACCACCTTCCATCAAGACTGAGGGATTGATCACCTTCCATCAATGCTAAGGGGCTGACCACCTTCCATAAATGCTGAGGGGCTGACCACCTTCCTTCAAGACTGAGGGATTGATCACCTTCCATCAATGCTGAGGGGCTGACCACCTTCCATAAATGCTGAGGGACTGACCACCTTCCATTAATGATGAGGGGCTGACCACCTTCCATAAATGCTGAGGGACTGACCACTTTCCATCAATGCTGAGTGGCTGACCACCTTCCATAAATGCTGAGGGACTGACCACCTTCCATTAATGCTGAGGGACTGGCCACCTTCCATTAATGCTGAGGGACTGACTACCTTCCATTAATGCTGAGGGACTGACCACCTTCCATTAATGCTGAGGGACTATCTTCTGTCAGGGCTAATTGATTGACCACCTTCCATTAATGCTGAGGGACTATCTTCTGTCAGGGCTAATTGATTGACCACCTTCCATTAATGCTGAGGGACTATCTTCTGTCAGGGCTAATTGATTGACCACCTTCCATTAATGCTGAGGGACTGACCACCTTCCATTAATGCTGAGGGACTGACCACCTTCCATTAATGCTGAGGACTGGCCACCTTCCATTAATGCTGGGGGACTGACTACCTTCCATTAATGCTGAGGGACTGACCCACCTTCCATTAATGCTGAGGGAATGGCCACCTTCCATTAATGCTGAGGGACTGACCACCTTCCATTAATGCTGAGGGACGGGACCACCTTCCATTAATGCTGAGGGACTGACCACCTTCCATTAATGCTGAGGGACTGACCACCTTCCATTAATGCTGAGGGACTGGCCCACCTTCCATTAATGCTGAGGGACTGACCACCTTCCATTAATGCTGAGGGACTGGCCACCTTCCATTAATGCTGAGGGACTGACCACCTTCCATTAATGCTGAGGGACTGACCACCTTCCATTAATGCTGAGGGACTGGCCACCTTCCATTAATGCTGAGGGACTGACCACCTTCCATTAATGCTGAGGGACTGACCACCTTCCATTAATGCTGAGGGACTGACCACCTTCCATCAAGACTGAGGGATTGATCACCTTCCATCAATGCTAAGGGGCTGACCACCTTCCATAAATGCTGAGGGGCTGACCACCTTCCTTCAAGACTGAGGGATTGATCACCTTCCATCAATGCTGAGGGGCTGACCACCTTCCATAAATGCTGAGGGACTGACCACCTTCCATTAATGATGAGGGGCTGACCACCTTCCATAAATGCTGAGGGACTGACCACTTTCCATCAATGCTGAGTGGCTGACCACCTTCCATAAATGCTGAGGGACTGACCACCTTCCATAAATGCTGAGGGACTGACCACCTTCCATAAATGCTGAGGGGCTGAGAGTTTACATCAATTTGTCATTGATGTATTAAAGTGTTCTTGAACAAGCTTGTACTGGGACGACATTCTGGCTCGTGTATATGTATGTTTTTATGAATTAATCGATTAAAAAAAAATGGGGTGGTAATTTTGAAAAAAATATATTCTGATTTTTTTTTTAAATCTTGACTTTCTCAGAATTTTTTCTACATTATAATGGCTGGTAAAAAGTAATACTCTCAGAGAAATTTTAAATTTTTGTTGTTGGAAAGGTGGAGTTAAAATGATAGGGTAGAACAGGCTAGTTTATTTACATAGGGCATCGTGGAATTACAAAAAAATGATGAATATGGAAGATTAGGTAGTTTTTTTGTCGTTTTTTTGACGAATCTTCAACAAACACACAAGATCAGCCAGTGTTCTTGTCGTAGCTTAGACGAACCTTCAACAAACACACAAGATCAGCCAGTGTTCTTGTCGTAGTTTCGTTGTGTTTCGTTGTCTGTAACATTAAAAAAACAACAGAACATTAAATCATCACCAACACGTAATAACAAGGGGGCCTAAATGACTACAAAATTACCCTAAATGATTCATATATATTTCAACTGACGGGATTCAATTATCTTCAACAAACCAGACAGAGAAAAAAAAAGATTGTGGGAAAATCTGACTGATTTGTAATAAGTAATAAGTAGTTGATTTCTGACAAAAGTAATGGTTGTTTTGATGTGGTGTTCCTGTGTTGTGGGTCGTTCTGACAAAAGTAATGGTTGTTTTGATGTGGTGTTCCTGTGTTGTGGGTCGTTCTGACAAAAGTAATGGTTGTTTTGATGTGGTGTTCCTGTGTTGTGGGTCGTTCTGACAAAAGTAATGGTTGTTTTGATGTGGTGTTCCTGTGTTGTGGGTCGTTCTGACAAAAGTAATGGTTGTTTTAATGTGGTGTTCCTGTGTTGTGGGGCCCTTCTGGCAAAAGTAATGGTTGTTTTGATGTGGGTGTTCCTGTGTTGTGGGTCGTTCTGACAAAAGTAATGGTTGTTTTTTATGTGGTTTCCTGTGTTGTGGGGTCGTTCTGACAAAAGTAATGGTTGTTTTGATGTGGTGTTTCCCGTGTTGTGGGTCGTTCTGACAAAAGTAATGGTTGTTTTGATGTGGTGTTCCTGTGTTGTGGGTCGTTCTGACAAAAGTAATGGTTGTTTTGATGTGGTGTTCCTGTGTTGTGGGTCGTTCTGACAAAAGTAATGGTTGTTTTAATGTGGTGTTCCTGTGTTGTGGGTCGAGGGAGGATACACGGGGCTTACCTGATTATTTTCCGTATCCTCCATATCCACCTCCGTGTCCGCCGCCTCCATATCCGCCTCGACCACCACCGTATCCACCGCCACCATAGCCTCCACCACCATAGCCGCCACCACCTCGGCCACCACCATATCCACCACCGCCATAGCCGCCACCTCCATAGCCTCCACCGCCATAGCCGCCACCACCTCGGCCACCACCATATCCACCACCGCCATAGCCGCCACCACCATGGCCTCCACCACCATAGCCTCCGCCTCCACCATATCCACGACCTCCTCCACCGTATCCACCACCACCATGTCCACCACCACCACCATATCCACCACCACCATATCCACCACCACCACCATATCTACCACCAGGTTCAGGGGTGGCCATGGCCACAGCAGAGAAGGCGGCCACAAGCCACAAGGCCACAACCTATAAGAAAACACAAGATAAACTATTTGTTACCTCAGAACTATCACAAACCTTTATAGATTTTTAAGTAACAAACACCATCCATTAAAAATATATAAATTTCGGTTTAAAAATTAGCTTAGTCAAAATATTACATATATAATATATATATATATATATATATATATATATATTTTATATATATATTATATATATATATATATATATATTATATATAATATATATATATATATAAAATATATATTATATATAATAATATATATATATATATATATATATAATATTATATATATATATATATAATAAAATATATATATATATATATATATATATAAAATATTTTATATATATATATATATATAATATATAAATATATATTTTATAATATAATATATATATATATATATATATATATATATATATTATATGTATGTATGTATAATATATCGAGAGGTGCATTTTCATGATCGTAGTGCAGTAGATAGGCTTTAAACCCCATTAACCAACAAACCAACGTTTGTAAATAACGAAAAGAGCAAATTCCGATTTTTATCAATTATGTCTAAAGATAATATTGATGTTGGAGAAGAAAATAGTGATGTTGGAGAAGATAATATTGACGTTGGAGAAGATAATATTGATGTTGTAGAAGATAATATTGATGCTGGAGAAGATAATATTGACGTTGGAGAAGATAATGTTGATGTTGTAGAAGATAATATTGATGTTGTAGAAGATAATATTGATGTTGTAGGAGATAATATTGATGTTGTAGGAGATAATATTGATGTTGTAGGAGATAATATTGATGTTGTAGGAGATAATATTGATGTTGTAGAAGATAATATTGATGTAGAGAGTGTTTTAAGAAGTAAACTTACAGTCTTGGTCACCATGATGATTCTCAGGTCACTATACTGACACCTGAACCCGCCAAGTTAACACTCTGTTGTGTGAGTGTCAGTCACCACTGTGCCACACCTGGCTCCATCACCCACTATATACTGGCACCCAGGTACACCAACACCACCATCCCCACCACCACCACCACCACCAGACGGGAGTGACCAGGTAATTTCTCAGAGAGAAATATGTTACGTCATCTGTCAAAACCAGTTGGCTGGAACTAAGAATCTGTCAACACCATCAAATGTTCCATTGTAGTGATATATTCCTGGATTTTTTATAAGGATTTGGCAAATAACTAATAAACTCATTAAAATGATTGATAATAGTTTTTCCCATCACAATAATAAAAGTTAAAATTAATTTGTGATGTGTACTTTTCCATTTGTAATTTTTGGACTTAAAAAAAATATTAAATTTGTTCACTGTGTTTATACTCACAGATTTGCGTTTGTAAGAGGTTGAGTGATAACTCCTGGTCTAGATTATTAAATTTCGTAGACCAGATTCATTTTTTTTTGCGGGTCAAGAAGGTTCAACCATACCCAGTTATCAAACTGTGTATGCTGTTCACCTCCACCTTCACTCAATTTTCTCGACTCCTTCAGACTGCTAGAAAAAATACTTTCCACCTTTTCTGTGACTTATCTGTGATTCATCTTCCATCTATGGTACATTGTTCCAGGTCTGTATCTTCCATCTATGGTACGTTGTTCCAGGTCTGTATCTTCCATCTATGGTACGTTGTTCCAGGTCTGTATCTTCCATCTATGGTACGTTGTTCCAGGTCCGTATCTTCCATCTATGGTACGTTGTTCCAGGTCTGTATCTTCCATCTATGGTACGTTGTTCCAGGTCTGTATCTTCCATCTATGGTACGTTGTTCCAGGTCTGTATCTTCCATCTATGGTACATTGTTCCAGGTCCGTATCTTCCATCTATGGTACGTTGTTCCAGGTCTGTATCTTCCATCTATGGTACGTTGTTCCAGGTCTGTATCTTCCATCTATGGTACGTTGTTCCAGGTCTGTATCTTCCATCTATGGTACATTGTTCCAGGTCTGTATCTTCCATCTATGGTACATTGTTCCAGGTCCGTATCTTCCATCTATGGTACGTTGTTCCAGGTCTGTATCTTCCATCTATGGTACGTTGTTCCAGGTCTGTATCTTCCATCTATGGTACGTTGTTCCAGGTCTGTATCTTCCATCTATGGTACATTGTTCCCAGGTCTGTATCTTCCATCTATGGTACGTTGTTCCAGGTCTGTATCTTCCATCTATGGTACGTTATTCCAGGTCTGTATCTTCCATCTATGGTACGTTGTTCCAGGTCTGTATCTTCCATCTATGGTACGTTGTTCCAGGTCTGTATCTTCCATCTATGGTACGTTGTTCCAGGTCTGTATCTTCCATCTATGGTACGTTGTTCCAGGTCTGTATCTTCATCTATGGTACATTGTTCCAGGTCTGTATCTTCCATCTATGGTACGTTGTTCCAGGTCTGTATCTTCCATCTATGGTACATTGTTCCAGGTCTGTATCTTCCATCTATGGTACATTGTTCCAGGTCTGTATCTTCCATCTATGGTACGTTGTTCCAGATCTGTATCTTCCATCTATGGTACATTGTTCCAGGTCTTTATCTTCCATCTACTTACGTTATCACCAAAAACGCAAATAACGTTATTTACGTTCTCACAAAAATGTTATTGACGTTTTTACTGACTTTCCGAAAGGCTCCTCTCAGGGGTCTTCGACATTATGTTCGGTGCAGCTGGAGACCTGCAGTTTAGGTGCTTCTCCTGGGATATGTTCGGTATGAGGTTAACCCCCAGATCCTTTCCTTACTTCGATGTTTTGCAGTATTTTTCAGGTTGGGCTCGAACAGCCACTTACTTGACCATTCAGACTGTGTGTACACTCTCTAGATAGCACTGATCTCACTAGTTTCCCATAAGCTATAACTAACATAGAATTCGATCCCACCTGGAAGATCATCTAAATGTATTAATACATACACTTTTCAGTGCATAAATATTGAAAGTTGTGTATCTTTCAGTGTATATACACTGAAAGTGTTAGCAGACTGTTTCGTTACCTGGGTGTTAGTAGACTGTTTCGTTATCTGGGTGTTAGCAGACGGTTTCGTTACCGGGGTGTTAGCAGACTTTTTTCTTTACTGGGTTGTTAGTAGACTGTTTCGCTACCTGGGTGTTAGCACTGTTTCGTTACCTGGGTGTTAGCAGACTGTTTCGTTACCTGGGTGTTAGCAGACTGTTTCGTTACCTGGGTGTTAGCAGACTGTTTCGTTACCTGGGTGTTAGCAGACTGTTTCGTTACCTGGGTGTTAGCAGACTGTTTCGTTACCTGGGTGTTAGCACTGTTTCGTTACCTGGGTGTTAGCAGACGTTTCGTTACCTGGGTATTAGCAGACTGTTTCGTTACCTGGCTGTTAGCAGACTGTTTCGTTACCTGGGTGTTAGCAGACTGTTTCGTTACCTGGCTGTTATCAGACTGTTTCGTTACCTGGGTGTTAGCAGACTGTTTCGTTACCTGGGTGTTAGTAGACTGTTTCGTTACCTGGGTGTTAGCAGTCTGTTTCGTTACCTGGGTTTTAGCACTGTTTCATTACCTGGGTGTTAGCAGTCTGTTTCGTTACCTGGGTATTAGCACTGTTTCATTACCTGGGTGTTAGCAGACGTTTCGTTACCTGGGTGTTAGCAGACTGTTTCGTTACCTGCCTGTTATCAGACTGTTGCATTACCTGGGTGTTAGCAGACTGTTTCGTTACCTGGGTGTTAGCAGACTGTTTCGTTACCTGGCTGTTATCAGACTGTTTCATTACCTGGGTGTTAGCAGACTGTTTCGTTACCTGGGTGTTAGCAGACTGTTTCGTTACCTGGCTGTTATCAGACTGTTTCATTACCTGGGTGTTAGCAGACTGTTTCGTTACCTGGGTGTTAGCAGACTGTTTCGTTACCTGGCTGTTATCAGACTGTTTCATTACCTGGGTGTTAGCAGACTGTTTCGTTACCTGGTGTTAGCAGACTGTTTCGTTACCTGGCTGTTAGCAGACTGTTTCATTACCTGGGTGTTAGCAGACTGTTTCGTTACCTGGGTGTTAGTAGACTGTTTCGTTACCTGGGTGTTAGCAGTCTGTTTCGTTACCTGGGTGTTAGCACTGTTTCATTACCTGGGTGTTAGCAGACGTTTCGTTACCTGGGTATTAGCAGACTGTTTCGTTACCTGGGTGTTAGCAGTCTGTTTCGTTACCTGGGTGTTAGCAGTCTGTTTCGTTACCTGGGTGTTAGCACTGTTTCATTACTTGGGTGTTAGCAGACTGTTTCGTTACCTTGGTGTGGGCAAACTGTTTCGTTTCATGGGTGCTAGCAGACTGTTTCGTTACCTGGGTGTTAGTAGACTGTTTCGTTACCTGGGTGTTAGTAGACTGTTTCGTTACCTGGGTGTTAGTAGACTGTTTCGTTACCTGGGTGTTAGTAGACTGTTTCGTTTCCTGGGTGTTAGTAGACTGTTTCGTTACCTGGTGTTAGCAGACTGTTTTCGTTACCTGGGTGTTAGCAGACTGTTTCGTTACCTGGGTGTTAGCAGACTGTTTCGTGACCTGGGTGTTAGCAGACTGTTTCGTTACCTGGCTGTTATCAGACTGTTTCATTACCTGGGTGTTAGCAGACTGTTTCGTTACCTGGGTGTTAGCAGACTGTTTCGTTACCTGGCTGTTAGCAGACTGTTTCATTACCTGGGTGTTAGCAGACTGTTTCGTTACCTGGGTGTTAGTAGACTGTTTCGTTACCTGGGTGTTAGTAGACTGTTTCGTTACCTGGGTGTTAGTAGACTGTTTCGTTACCTGAGTGTTAGCAGACAGTTTCATTACCTGGGTGTTAGCAGACTGTTTCGTTACCTGGGTGTTAGCAGACTGTTTCGTTACCTGGGTGTTAGCAGACTGTTTCGTTACCTGGGTGTTAGTAGACTGTTTCGTTATCTGGGTGTTAGTAGACTGTTTCATTACCTGGGTGTTAGCAGACAGTTTCGTTACCTGGGTGTTAGCAAACTGTTTCGTTACCTGGGTGTTAGTAGACTGTTTCGTTACCTGGGTGTTAGTAGACTGTTTCGTTACCTGGGTGTTAGTAGACTGTTTCATTACCTGGGTGTTAGCAGA